CAAACACTCACCAGCTAAGATGATATTTATTTTTTTTTCTTCTTCTGACAGAGGGTTGCGAATGTAGCAAATCATATCACCCTGTGATTTGTAACTGAGGAGAAGAGTCATCTTGATGTGGAATAATCCAGCTCCATCCTGTGAGTATAATTGTGATGAATGTGGAATTACCTCTCCCTTGCTGTCTTTGCACACCATCTGGGGCTGTGGGAACCAGCCTCCTGAGTTACACTCCACCATAAGTCCATCAGTTCTAGGAGCCTGAATATGGATCTGTGTCTCCAAGCCTAATGCTGGATAAATGATATGGAAATCAAGATAGTTTGTATTGAAGTTGAGTTGAAAGTTGAAAGGAAAAGGATATCATTAATCTTGTATTCTGCAACATTAGAAAAGGTAATACTCAAATCTACTCAAATACATCGAAGCTACAAGTTAGACTATCTTTGGTCACTCAGCACTGTTTATTTACTGCATAGTATATTTTTGCATTAAATATAGGGGGTTATCTTCTATTTAAAACACTTGAGATACTTTGTAAATATAAAAAAGACAATAAATAAAAAATGATATATTTTCCACATATTTCAGCTCCTGGGGTCACAAGACCATTGATATGCAATGTTCCACCATAAACATACCTGTTACATTCAGGTCCATGCTTGCCATATTGCTGAAGTTGCCATCCTTAAATGAACACTGGTATGTTCCATTGTCAGAAACGCGGATATTATGAAGTCTGAGAGCCACTTTGCCCTCCCCAATGGCCTCTTTCACAAACTCTGTGCGGTCCACATATTCTGGGGCAGCTTCCCCTTTCACTTCATGGCCATCTCTGTATAGGTGAACAAGCTTGGAATGGTCACCCTTGAACCAGGACACCTCCATGTGTTTTGCACTTTGTGGTGGGGACAACTGGCAGCTAAGCTCAATCTGTCCTCCTACTATAGCCACCAAGTGTCCAATGGGAATGGTCACTGTCCACTTTTCTGTAGAGAAAGATAGAAAACTAGGGTAAATTTGAGGCCAACAACATCTTTGTTGCTATATACTGAAGGATACACTGTATTTTTCCCATCACACCTTGCCATTCTAAATATTCAGCTCTGAACATATCTCCATCTGCCTAAATCAATATTTTATTTATTTAAAAGATCTATGTTACTACATTATTTTCTTATCATATACTCACACTTGGGTTCTGAGAAGATGGCAGAGCAAAAAGTACCAGGAATCTGAATCCCTACTTAGACAATAATTGCACTGGCAGAATCTGCCTGAGGTAACTATTTTAGAATTCTGAAGTCTATGGAAGGCCTTCAATTTCCATGGGAAAGCTTGGATGATAAATTGCATTAATTGTGATCCATTTTAGCTCATATCACAGTACTATCTACCCAATACCCACCTTCAGCCTCAAGGCAGCAAACTGGAGACGCTTTCACATAGCTTATGGGAGCCTGAGTAAGCACAAAGGACCCTGTCCTTCAAATACTGGGGATCTGTGCTGTCATCCCTGATTGCTGCTTCCAATCACAGAGATTGGAGGTCAAAGAGGCAAGTGGCCACTTTTGTTTTACCTTGTATTTTTTCAAGCCATGCCTCTCTACCTGAAGTGACATTCTGGGAATCCTTCTTTAGTGAAAGGTTTACTTTCACCTTAAGCAAGACTTATCCATTGCTTTTGTGCACCTCGGTTAACAGACCTTTGAAATGCCAGAGTGATCCTCTTTTGCAGACTCCTGGGAGGCATAAGCACCCTCAATGGATCACACAATCTTATTAACTATCATGTAATCTAATCACAGGGATTTTCCTGCCTTGCTCTCTCCCACTGTTATGCCCAGATTTCAGGATCCCCAAGAGACCACCCCAGGGAGGCCAGGTGCAAGTCAGTGTCTTGTTACACAGGATGTGGTCGTCATATCTATGGCGTGCACTTCCCTTGATTATCATTGGTTAGTTTAAAGAAATCCTAGGTGTGGCTAGCAGAGGCTTGGACTTCTTCTGGGAAGAAGCTCCATGCTGAGCACATGGCTGCTGCCCAAAAATGGAGGATTCGGGGCAAGATGGAGGGCATAGCCCTCGCCCTTTCACCACCTCCATGTAATCTTTCTTATGTCCCTCTCTAATTCAAATATATAAAAAGAACTGCAAAACTGTCCTTCTTGTGAGCATGTTAGATCTTGCTTCCAGGCATGTCATCAGTTTGGCTCAAATAAACTCATAAAAATTCTCCACAGGTTTGGACATTATTGCAATATTGTGAGGGTCTAATGAGATAATGCACTTTCCTTTAAAGCTGTAAAGTGCATTTCGTTTCATGGGTTGTAATTATCTTTCTAAATTCTTTCCTCTAAAGCAGCGGTTCTCAATCTGTGGGTCAAGACCCCTTTGGCGGTCAAATGACACTTTCACAGGGGTCACCTAAGACCATCCTGCATATCAGATATTTACATTACGATTCATAACAGTAGCAACATTACAGTTATGAAGTAGCAATGAAAATAATTTTATGGTTGGGTCACAACATGAGGAATTGTATTTAAAGGGCCAGAAGGTTGAGAACCACTGCTCTAAAGCCTTCTTCTCAGCACCTGACAATATCTATGTACCCAAACCTATAACAATCATAAAGAATCACATTGAAAGAGTGCTTGATAATGTACAAAGCTTTTTAACATCAATTATCTCATTTTCTCTATATGTTGCTTTATTGACAACCAAACCCTGTCAAACACTCACCAGCTAAGATGATATTTATTTGTTTCCCTTCATCTGACAGAGGGTTGTGAATGTAGCAAATCATATCACCCTGTGATTTGTAACTGAGGAGAAGAGTCATCTTGATGTGGAATAATCCAGCTCCATCCTGTGAGTATAATTGTGATGAATGTGGAATTACCTCTCCCTTGCTGTCTTTGCACACCATCTGGGGCTGTGGGAACCAGCCTCCTGAGTTACACTCCACCATAAGTCCATCAGTTCTAGGAGCCTGAATATGGATCTGTGTCTCCAAGCCTAATGCTGGATAAATGATATGGAAATCAAGATAGTTTGTATTGAAGTTGAAAGTGTCTCATTAATCTTGTATTCTGCAATATAAGAAGTAATATTCAAATCTACATCAAAGCTACAAGTTAGACTATCTTTGGTCACTCAGCACTGTTTATTTGCTTCATAGTATATTTTTGCATTAGGTATAGGGGTTATCTTCTATTTATAACACTTGAAATACTTTGTAAAATATAAAAAAAGAAGAAATTAAAAATGATATCTATTCCACATATTTCAGCTCCTGGGGTCACAAGGCTATTGATATGCAATGTTCCACCATAAACATACCTGTTACATTCAGGTCCATGCTTGCCATATTGCTGAAGTTGCCATCCTTAAATGAACACTGGTATGTTCCATTGTCAGAAACGCGGATATTATGAAGTCTGAGAGCCACTTTGCCCTCCCCAATGGCCTCTTTCACAAACTCTGTGCGGTCCACATATTCTGGGGCAGCTTCCCCTTTCACTTCATGGCCATCTCTGTATAGGTGAACAAGCTTACTAGTAAAATGGTCACCTTTGAACCAGGACACCTCCATGTGTTTTGCACTTTGTGGTGGGGACAACTGGCAGCTAAGCTCAATCTGTCCTCCTACTATAGCCACCAAGTGTCCAATGGGAATGGTCACTGTCCACTTTTCTGTAGAGAAAGATAGAAAACTAGGGTAAATTTGAGGCCAACAACATCTTTGTTGCTATATACTGAAGGATACACTGTATTTTTCCCATCACACCTTGCCATTCTAAATATTCAGCTCTGAACATATCCCCTTCTGTTTAAATCAATATTTTATTGCTTTTGAAAAGACCACTGTTACTACATTATTCTCTTTAAAATATACTCACTTGGGTTCTAGAAAGATGACAGAGCATAAAGTACCAGAAATCTGACTCACTACTTAGACAAATTGCACTGGCAGGATCTGCCTGAAGTAACTATTTTAGAACTCTGGAGTCAACTGAAGGCCTTCAACTTCCAAGTGAAAGCTTGGATGGTAAATTACACTAATTTTGGTCAATTTCAGCTCATATCACAGTAGCATAAACCCATCTTTCACCCTCAGCCCCATGACAGTCAGCTGTGCTACTCTCCTTGGAGCCATTTTCACATAGCTTTTGGGAGCTCAAGTAAGCAAAAGAGGCTCTGTCCCTCAAATACTGGGAATCTGGGTAGTGATCACTGATAGCTGCTTTCAGTCATAGACATGGGAAGACAAAAAGGCAAGTGGCCATTGTCGAATTTTCCCCTATGTTTTCAAGTGCCTCCTCTATGAAGTGACACAGGGAATTTAAAGGGTCAGTATTCTTTCACACACCCCTTCATTTTTCTCTTTTCCTCTTTTGAGAGCCAGACATTAAAGATTAGAACATTTAAAAGCTAGTACATATACGAGGGAAATTAAAAAGTGACCACACATGGAACAGGCTCACAAAAGAACTGAGGAGACCTTGGCATACAGACAGCTACAAGAAAAAAATAAAACAAAACAAAAACAATTTTTAAAAAGCTAATAAATCCTGGAAAAGAAGGGGAATCAGATTTTGAGTTAACAAAATAAATTTAAATATCCAGTTTGCTATTAAAAATTAAAATATATACAAAACATACAAAGAAACAAGAAAATATGGTCCATTCCCAGGAACAAAGTAAATAAACAGGAACTCTCCTGAAAAGATCTCAGAGCAGGTCACAATTAAAGACTTTAAAACAACTATTTTAAAGATGCTCAACTTCCTGAAGAACTATAGGAAGAGGTGATAAAACCAAGAAAACAATTTATGAACAAAATGGAAATATAGACTCCAAAACATAAAGAGAAAACAAAAAGGAATTCTGGACCTGAAAAACACACCTGAAATTAAAAAATTTACTAGAAGGATTCAAAGTCAGATTTGAAAAGGAAGAAAAAGAATCAGTGAACTTAAAGACAGGGCAATGGAAATTATTAAATCTGTGTAATAGAAAGAAGTAACAGAGTGTTTATGTTATTAAAGTTAAGAGTGTTATTATTTTAGGATGTTATATGCAATCCCCATGATAACCACAAAGAAACCAGCTATAGAACATTTTAAAAATATACTTTTATTAATTTCAGAGAGGAGGGGAGAGGAAGAGAAAGATAGAATCATCAATGATGAGAGAGATTCATTGACTGGCTGCCTCCTGCATACCCCCTACTGGGGATAGAGGCCACAACCCAGGCATATGCCTGGACAGGGAATCAAACTGTGACCTCCTAGTTGATAGGTCAACAGTCAACCACTGACTGAGTCATGCTGCCAGGCCAGAATATGTTTTTAAAAAGGAAAAAATTTAAACATTTCCATACAAAAATCAACTAGTCACCGAAATAGAAAGTAATGAAAGAAATAAGGGACAATAAAGCTATATGGCATACAAAAAATAAATAACAAAATTACCAAAGTGAGTCATTACTTTAAATGTGAGTGGATTAAACTCTCCAATCAACAGAGTTGGTTGAATGGATAAAAAGTACATCATTCAACCATATCCTGTCTATAAAAGAGTCACTTTAGATACAAAGACTCAAATAAATTGAAAGTGAAAAAATGGAAAAAAATAATGCAAGCAAGAGAAAAAATACAGTAATGACTGTATAACATTATGAGTATATTTAATATTACTGTTCACTTAAAAATAGTTAAGATAGTGCTATTTTACCACAAAGAAAATTTATACTTGATAGAAAATAAAACCACATATTGAAAAAACAACAAGGGCAACAAATAGAAAACAGTAATAAATATGTTAGATGTTCATCCAGTTATGTCAATATTCACTTTAAATGTCAATGGCCTAAATACAGCAATTAAAAGACAGAGATTGTCAGAATGATTGATAAACCAAGACCTAATGATATGTTGTCTATAAGAAACTCATTTTAATATAATGAATTTCAGTTTTATAAAAGGAAAAGTGTAACATATACAAAACAATTGTTCAGCCTTAAAAATGAAATCATGCCATATTTTACAACATGAATGAACCTGGAAGAGAATATATTAAATTAAATAAGCCAGTCACAGAAAGACAAATCCTGCATAATTTCACTTACATGAGGTATCTACAATAGTCAAATTCATAGAAGCAGAGAGGAGAATGATAGTTTTCTGTGGCTGGAAGGAGAAAATGTGAGTTCTGTTTCAATAGGTATTTTGAAAAATAACACTATACTACTTTATGGATAATGTAAATATCTTATAATAACCAAGAATTCCTAGTATCTGTCTCCAATCCTTTGCATCATCACTGTCATTCACTTCAGTTATACATAAACTATAATAATTGATTATATAATCGCTATAATTATTTTGAACCAACTATTATCTTTAGATCAATTAACATAAAAAATAAAAATTTCAATGTTGCCTTAATTTATTCCTTCCATATTGCTGTTCTTTTCTTTATGAAGATCTGATATTCTGACATGTATCATTTTCCTTCTCTGTGAAAAACTTCTTTTAACATTTCTTATAAGCTCTATAAGTGAACTGGGTGTTTTTTTTTCCTTCTGGCTTTTTTCAAGATTTTTTCTTTTTCTGCATTTTTAATATGGCTTGCTTCAATATAATTTTTTAATATTTATCCTGTTTCATGTTCTCTAAGTTTCCTGGATATATGGTTTTGTGTCTCACATTAATTTAGGGAAATTCTCAGTCATTATTGTTTCAAATAGTTCTTCTATTCCTTTATCTTTTTCTTCTGTTATTCCCATTATATGTATATCACACTTTTTGTAGTTATCCCACAATTCTAAGATTTTCTTTCTCTCTCTCTCCCTCTCTCTCTCTCTCTCTCTCTCTCTCTCTCTTAAATTCCTTTTCTATTTGATTTTTAGTTTTGGTAGTTTCTGTTGATATCTTCTCAAACTCAGAGATTCTTTCCTCATTCATGTCTGGTCTACTAATGGGCATATGGAAAGGCAATTGAATCTGTTACAATGTTTTTGAACTCTATAATTTTTAAACTTTTTCTTAGAATTTCTATTTCTCTGCTTACATTGTTCATCTGCTCATGCATGTTGCCTACTTTTCCATTAGAGTCCTTAGCATATTAATCATAGTTATTTTAAATTCCGAGTTTGATAATTCCAACAATTTTGCTATATCAAAGTCTAGTTTTGATGTTTTCTCTGTCCCTTCAAACTTTATTTTTTGCCTTTTAGTATGTCTTATAATTTTTTGCTGAAAGTCAAACATGATGGACTGGGTAAAAGAAAGAAACTCTAGTTAAGAACTTTTATTGATGTCATAGTAAGTATCAGGGGAGGGAAGGTATTTTATAGCCCTGTGAGTAGATTTCAGTCTTTTAGTGAGCCTATGTCCTTGGCTGTGAAGTTCATAAGTACTTGTCTTCTCTCTCAAGGTCTGATACAATGGCTAGACTGGACTAGAGTTGGATATTTTCCTGCCCCCAGGTCAGTCAGACTCTGATAAAACAATAATAGGTTAGGCTGTAATAAAATAGTTACTCTTGAAGGCAGGCCTTATTAAGAAGAGCATATTTCAAAATGGCTGCTCTTCCCCCCTGTCACCCCTTTACCTAAAACATAAGAGGATTTTTCTTCAATATTCATTGTGAGAACCTAGTAAAAACCCTGGAGGTAAAACTCACAAAAGTGAGTTCTCCCTTAACTGGTCCCTCTTGGAATCTTTAACTCTCAGACTTGTCCACATTGAGCCTCTAGCAATTTATTTAAATCAGATTTATTGGGATGACGTTGGTTAAAAAGATTACATAGGGCCGAAACCGGTTTGGCTCAGTGGATAGAGCGTCAGCCTGCGGACTGAAGGGTCCCAGGTTCGATTCCGGTCAAGGGCATGTACCTGGGTTGCGGGCACATCCCCAGTGGGAGATGTGCAGGAGGCAGCTAATCGATGTTTCTCTCTCATTGATGTTTCTAACTCTCTATCTCTCTCCCTTCCTCTCTGTAAAAATCAATAAAATATATTTAAAAAAAAAGATTACATAGGTTTCAAGAGTATATGTACAATTCTATGAGACTTGTCTACACTGAGCCTCTAGCAATTTAGTAACTATGGTTTAGATTTTCCTGTCTTAGTACTGGTTGTCTCAGAATTTTCTGGTCTTAGAAGTTGTGAATCTCTGTATCCACTTGTCTGATTCTCCCATTCAGGGGCCAATAGCTTATCTGTGACCTCACTTTTCTGTTGGACATAAGAAGTGTTGTTGATTTTCAGTTTTTTCAGCTTTTTATTTGATGTTAGGATGTAGTGATGTTTTTCAAGCATTTTACATGCTCAACTGGACTCTGGAAGTCTGCCAAAGGTTCTTTCCAAAAAAAAAAAAAAAAAAAAAAGCTGTCCTGCCACAGTGACTCAGTAAGAAAAATGTAGATTTTCTTACCTGATGCTGATGTCATCACTTCTAGGAGAAGAATACCCACAAAGTACCCAGAAAAAGAAGAGGATTTTGGCTTCATCATGCCTAGAAAGGAGACAAAAAGAAAGTCATAGACTATGAGATAGTTGGTAGAAATTGACAAGATACACAAAATTAAGTCAAGATTATAAAGAGGAAAAACTTTGAGAATCTCCTCTCAGTGCTCAACAAAATGACCATGTCCCCTCACATGGTTCTGATCAAGAGAGACTTCTCAATTTCTCCTTCTCATTAATTCACACTTTACTATTTATCTATTTATCTCTCTTTCACATTTTGACTTAACCTACTAAAACATGTTTTTTGACAGGAGTAACAAATGGAGTAGAAAAATATTCTAAGTGAATGAATAGAGGAGAAAACAAAAAATGGCAGGCACAAAAGCATGAATGCCTAAGTGTGCATAGTAAAGTAAGAAAAATATTTTTCTAATTCATGTTCTTGAACAATTAAGATGAGAACAAATCAAAGTGGCACTAAAACACCTTGTTAATAATTTTATACATCCTATATAATAAAGAGGTAATATGCAAATTGACCATCATGCCCTCACACAAGATGGCCACCCCCATGTGGTCACAAGATGGCTGCCCCATGTGGTCACAAGATGGCCGCCCCCATGTCATCACAAGATAGCCACCACAAGATGGCCAGCAGGGATGGGCAGTTTGGGGGGACCAGGCCGGCAGGGGAGGGCAGTTGGGGGCAATCAGGCTGGCAGGGAAGGGCAGTTGGGGGCAATTGTGCTGGCAGGGGAGCAGTTAGGCGTCGATCAGGCTGGCAGGTGAGTGATTAGGGGATGATCAGACTGGCAGGCAGAAGTGGTTAGGGGCAATCAGGCAGGCAGGCAGGCAGGCAAGCATTTGGGAGCCAGCAGTCCTGGGTGTGAGAGGGATGTCCAACTTCCCCCGAGGGGTCCCAGATTGGAGAGGGTGAAGGCTGGGCTTAGGGACACCCCCCCCCTCTGTGCATGAATTTCATGCACTGGGCCTCTAGTTGTATATAAAAAGGAAAAGCTGCTGAAATATTAACCAGTGTCCTGTATTTTATCTGACAACCATATTCATTCACATTTAGAAACTTATGAGTTGATTCAAACACATGAGATAACAACATCAACCAAAAAATGGTTCAAAAAATGTATATTTTAAAGGAAAATGTAGGACTTTATTCATATCATAGTCCAGGGCTAAAGTAATTAGTCAAGGTCTGAAGAAACAAATTCTGATGCTTGTCACTATTCAAACAAGTGAGAGAGGCCAATTTGATCTATATAAAGCCAATGTGAAAATATTTAAAACAGTGGTGCTTAATATTTTATTATTTTACACTAGAGGTTTGGTTCACAAATTCGTGTACCAGTGGGGTCCATTGACCTGGCCTGTGGGATAGGGCCGAAACCAGCTCTCCCACATCCCCTGAGGGGTCCCAGATTGCAAGAGGGCACAGGCCAGACCACAGACCCTACCAGTGCATGATCAGGGCTGGGGAGGGATGTGGGAGGTTGGCCAGCCGGGGAGGAACCGCAGGAGGGCTTCAAGGTGTGTCCAGCCCATCTTGCTCAGTCCCTATCAGCCAGACCCCAGCAGCATGCTCACCTACTGGTCAGAGCATCTGTTCCCTGGTGGTCAGTGCACATCATAGCAAGTGGTTGAGTGGCCTTGGCATATCATTAGCATATGACTTTGATTGATTGAACAGCCGACCAGACAACTGGACACTTAACATATTAGGCTTTTATTATATAGGATATCTGACAGATATGATAAATGATTATTAGCAACACTAGCCCATCAGATGATTCACATTCCATTGCGAGGTAGACAAATGTTGGCATAAACACCCAAAGAGCAGATTATAATTTCCAAAGGGTTATAATCTTTAAATGCCTCATAGTTATTACATTATCTCCCTCCATTACTGCCCACCACTATTCAAAATTATTAACTTGCTGTACCTGGTTTGGCTCAGTGGGTAGAGCATCGGCCTACGAACTGAAGGGTCCCAGGTTTCATTCTGGTCTAGGGCACATGCCCGGGGTTTTGGGCTTGATCCCCAGTAGGGGGTATGCAGGAGGCAGCCGATCAATGATTCTCATTGATGTTTCTATCTCTCTCTCCTTTTCCCTTCCTCTATGAAATCAACAAAAATATGTTTTAAAAATTATTAACTTAAACTTTGAATCTATGAAAGATACTCATTTTTAAAAGCAAGCTTATTTTAAATTTCTACATAAAGACTTATACATGTGTTCATGGTTGCTTTAATTGTAATAGTTAATAACTGGAAATTACTCAAAATTTTATTTATAGATGAAAGCACAAACAAGTTCTGATATATGCATAAATATAATATACTCAGCAATAAAAATGAATGAACCATTTTTATAAACATGTATGAATCTCAAAATAATTTTGCTGAATTAAAAAGAATTCAGGCAGAAAAAAATGACTTATACAGTGTGATTTCATGCCTGGGTTGCCAGCTCGATCCCCAGTAGGGGGCATGAAAGAGGCAGCTGATGTATGTTTCTCTCTCATTGATGTTTCTATCTTTCCCTCTCCCTTCCTTTCTCTCTACAACTCAATAAAAACATATTTCAAATAAGTAAATAAATAAATAAATACAAACTGGTCCTATCTACCCTGAGTCCCCAAAATGGTGTTGCTTCCCACTCTCTTTTTAAAAGCACTCAATAAAACTTACAGTAATGCCAGTGTTTTAGACCTGATAGACACCATAGTAGATGACTCCAGTTACCAAGATTTCTCTCCTGTAATATGGATGGTTTAATTATTAAATGTAAATGCACCTCAAAAATTATTACTAATATCTTAATTGTATTTTTACAAGTAGACTTAAAATGTATTGAGGTATAAGGGATATACAAAAAACTGCATACATTTAATTTAAATCATTTGTTAAATTTTACATGTGTTTACAGCTGTGAAACTATCACTGTAATTAATATACCAAACATGTCCAACACTCCCAAAAGTGTCCTCATGTACTTTTGTAATTCTTCCCTTTTCCCTCTCCTCCTATCCTTAATTTCTACTTTCATAGAGATTATTTGCATTTTATAAATATAGATATTAGTAATAAATTTTGAGGTGCATTTACATTTAATAATTAAACCATCCATATTATAGGAGAGAAATCTTGGTAACTGGAGTCATCTACTATGGTGTCTATCAGGTCTAAAACACTGGCATTACTGTAAGTTTTATTGAGTGCTTTTAAAAAGAGAGTGGGAAGCAACACCATTTTGGGGACTCAGGTGATTTTTAGAGAGAAAGGAAGGGAGAGGGAAAGATAGAAACATCAATGAGAGAGAAACATACATCAGCTGCCTCTTTCATGCCCCCTACTGGGGAATGAGCTGGCAACCCGGGCATGTGCACCAACAGGTAATTGAACCAGTGACCTCTTGGTGCATGGGACACACTCAATCACTAAGCAACACTGGCTGGGCGATAGGTCCAGTTTTTGTGGTGTTCTTTTAAAATATATTTTATTGATTTTTTACAGAGAGGAAGGGAGAGGGATAGAGAGTTAGAAACATTGATGAGAGAGAAACATCGATCAGCTGCCTCCTGCACATCTCCCACTGGGGATGTGCCTGCAACCCAGGTACATGCCCTTGACCGGAATCGAACCTGGGACCCTTCAGTCCACAGGCCGACGCTCTATCCACTGAGCCAAACTGGTTTTGGCGGGCAGGTCCAGTTTTTAATAATCAACCCAATACTGAAATTTAAAAGGAGACCCTTTGTTTTGAAATACCTCACTGCCTGTTAGCTTCCTAAATTCCCAGATATTGCTATTCTGTGATAAAAAGATTGGCAAACAATTAAGGAATTAGAGCTAAAGAAATTCCTAAGGCTATAATAAAGGAGGTAAGATATAGCCTTGTCCCTAACCACCATTCTCAATCTGATCACTTACTTGAGCTCCAGGTTCCTGAGGATTTTTCTTTCCAGCTCCTTCTGAAAGTTGGCTCAATGCCTCAATGTGATTTGGCAGTACTCCTCCACCAATAGTCAGAAACAGCTACAATACAGTCAAGTGGGCACTCTGTTTACCAGAGCTTCCACCTATTGCCTGCTGGCAGAACTTTTGTTCTGGCCAATCTGAAATATATATTCCCTTCCTTCGTAAGGAAAACAGTAAGGTATCTGTTTTCCATGCCATAAAACCTCAAATCTATTTGCAGCAGCACCATGAGTCATGCAAGAGAACTCTGTTATATTTGCAAGAGATAGGTCCCAACATGACATACCTTAGCCTGAGATAATATCTGAGCTCAGGAGTCTTTCTTCATGTATTTTCCCCTGGATCTTTCCTTACCATCATGAAACAAACTTAAGGGAAATTCTTGCTCTTATTAACAGTTATATGCCCTTTAAGTTAACTTTGCAAACACAAGTTAGAATTTTCTCTTACTCATCCACACCTACTAAATACAGTTTTTTCTACTTCTCCACAGCAGTTATGTTTTCTTCCTGAAAACCATATTTTATTCAATTTAGAGATGAGCACAGAACAAGCACTTGGAAAATAATTTTCAAAGCTTTTTTTAAAAAATCTAGTTTGAAGAAATGAACTGTGAGAAACATTTTCTTACATGTCTACAAGGGCATCTGTGAAAAGTTTCTCGAGGTATATACCAAACTATCGCCTTAGTATGTCACAAATACACAAATCCTTAATTTAATGCTAAATTAAGAAATTACATTCCTGAGTAGATGGGTTTATTTTCATTCCTACCTGCAATAAATATTAGCTCCCCTTGTATAAGTACTATCAATAATCAATATTACTCAACTTCTTTATTTTGCTCATTCAATGGGTAAGAAATTGCTTCTCCTTATTTTATTTATAGATTACTAGAGAGATTATGAATTTCTTCATACAGGTTTAACTATTCAGTTCTACCTTTTGGTAGATTTTTTTAGTCCCACAATTTAACAATTTATTTGTTAGGTTTTCTGTCTTATTCCTTATTTCTATCCTTCTAGGTATTAATCCATTATTATCATTAGGCTTTGAAAATATCTTCCCAGCATATTTGATATCTGCCAATTGTGTCTTATACAAGGACCTGCAGGTCAGCTCCAGGTTACTTTATCCTGTCTGTGATTATTGTGGCCCAGCAGAAATAGGATGAATTACAATATTTGGGAAAGATTTAGAACTGTTCCATGTATCTACCTTCCCAAATCCAGGCTGAAGGAGAAACTACTATCTGTGATATGCTCTTCTCATGGCAGAAAGTGCCATCATTGCGTTCTTACATTTAATTACAATAGCATTAAGAATGAAATGCAAATGTTCCCAGCCAGACTCTATTGCGAATGGTGAGAAAGGAAAATTGTGCTGAGACTGGTATTTCCAGAGAAGTTGGTGATGAGTTTCAGGGCCCCAGGGCAGATAAACCGGAACAATCAGTTCTCTGTTTTAGTAGCAGGCAGTCTGAAGTGTCTGTCCCAAGTGAGAAAATATAAAGGTCACAAGGGAGAGTAAGAAGCCCAGTCTCTGGTGAGCTGGCAAAACATATGAATGCTTAGAAGATATTCAGGGGAGCCAATTAATAAAAGGAAACTCATTCTGGATTCCTTGACTGCTGGAAAATTGAAGAACAACCTTCAGGTTTTAATTAATTCAACTCTCAACCTTACTATTCACAAAAAAGGCTGTCTCTGGATTCAGGATTTTGAGGTATTCTGGGGCATAGCTTTCTCTTTATCCTTGGGTTCTGCTAAGGGCTCCTCATAAAAGGTTACCTACCTTTGTTAGTTATCTTTCCCTCAAAGAGATCTGGGCTCTCATTCTGTAACAATTCTGCTCTATGTTGTTAAATTTTTATTTAGATGAATGACATTTGCTGTTTCAAAATAATAATATAAGATTATAGTGATTTCTTCAAGGAAAAGATTTCTCCTTTCACCTTTCTCCAGTAGTTTCATTAAATACATTATTTTTACCTTTTTGACAAATATAACCTCTAATGCCTACTTGATAAATCCTGAATTCTCAGCCAGTGTTTGCATTCTGTTAGACCTCATGGGCTCTTTGGAGGTAGTTTATAGCTAAGTTTCTCTACTAAAATTTGGGTTTGAGGTGTCTGATTGAGTTTGTGATTGTATTTTTGCAAGACACTAGTTTTTTAGAATTAAAAAAAAAATCCTTTTCTGCCTAACCAAGGCATGCACATTCCCGTGGCATCTCTCCCCAACACAAGGATTCTGATATGCCTCCTTTGAATCACTAACATATTGAAGTATTTATTTTCAAAAATTGTATTTTATTTTAATACTCAGGTGTTTTAGAATAAGATAAAAATGAAACTCATTTAAATAAAAGAAATTACAGAGGATTGGATGTTGTGATTTCTGTCAATCTCAAATGCAATGTAATCAATGCCTTTTCTATCCTCTCTCAAACTCAATGCTAGGAATCTCCCAGCTTTTAATCTGAAAAACTGGTTGTGATTTACATTAATTAATTTCATGTGTTCAGAAACAAGCTTTACTTTTAGCTATTAATTGTATGACACTCTTGAATATTGTGATTTTTTAAAATTAAATGTATTGGGATGACATTGGTTAATAAAATCATATAGGTTTCAGGTGTACAATTCTATGATACATCAACTGTATATTGCATTGCATGCCCACCACATCTCCTTCCATTGCCATACACTCAATTCCTTTTACCCATCAATATCCTCTATCCCCCTTTCCTTCTTGTAGTCACCATAATGTTGTCTGTGTCAATGAGTTTTTGCTTGTTTGTTCGTTAATTTGTTACTTTCAGTTTTATATCCTACATATGAGTAAAACCATATGGTTCTTGACTTTTTGTCTGACTTACTTTGCTTATCATTATATTCTCAAGATCCATCCATGTTGTCACAATGGCAATATTTCATATTACTTATGGCTGAGTAGTATTCCATTATATATCTTTATCCAATCATCTTTTGAAGGACACTTTGGTTATTTCCATGTCTTGGCCACTGTGAATAATTCTGCAAAGAGCATTGGGGTGCACATATCTTTGTGCATAAATGCTTTTAAAATTTTCAACTAGATGCCCACAAGTGGGATTGCTGGGTCATATAGTCACTCTATTCTTAATTTTTGAAGAACTGTCATACTATTTTCCATAATGGCTGTACCAGTTTACATCCCACCAGCAGTAAATGAGGGTTTCTTTTCCCCCACAACCTCTCCAATGCTTGTTATCGCTTGTCTGGTTGATAACCATTCCAACAGATGTGAGTCAGTATCTCACTGTAGTTATGATTTGCATTTCCCTAATACTAAGTGAAGTTAAGCATCTTTCATATATATGTGGCCATTTGTAAGTCTTCTTGGAAGAAGTGTTTGTTCAGGTCCTTTGCCCATTTTCTAATTAGTTGCTTGTTTTTCTTGTTGTTAAGATGTATTAGTTCTTTATATATTTTGTATATTAACCCCTTGCCAGAGCTGTTGTTTGCAAATATCAAGTATTTTCTCCCATTTGGATGATTGCCTTTAGTTGTTGATTTTTTTTTTCTGTGCAGAAGCTTTTTAGCTTGACGTAGTACTATTTGTTTATTTATTTATTTTTTAATATATTTTTATTGATTTCAGAGAGGAAGGGAAAGGGAGAGAGAGATAGAAACATCAATGATGAGAGAGAATCATTGATCGGCTGCCTCCTCCTGCATGCCCCCTACTGGGGATCAAGCCCACAACTGCAACCTGGACATGTGTGTGACTAGGAATTGAACTGTGATCTCCTGGTTCATAGGTCAATACTCAACCACTGAGTCACACTGGCTGGGCTAATCCCATTTATTTTTTCTTTACTTCCCTTACCTTTGGGGTCAAATTCTAAAATCCTCTCCAAGACCAAGATACATGCATTTAGTTGTTTAGTAGCCATGTTCTCTTTTATGTAATTTACTAGAGGCCCAATGCAAAAAATTCATGCATGGATCTGTCCAATAAACACTGTTTATTGAAGAGACTGTCTTGACCTCCACTGTATGCTCTTGCCTCCTTTGTCAAATATTAATTGAGCATAATGGCTTGAGTCGATTTCTGGGGTCTCTGTTCTGTTCCATCGACCTATATGTCTGTTCTTGTGCCAATATAAGGCTGTTTTGATTACAGTGGCTTTTATAATATAACTTGAAATCTGGTATTGTGATTCTTTCAACTTTGTTTTTCTTTCTCAAGATTGCTGCAGCTATTCAGGATCTTTTTAAATTACATATAAATTTTTGGAGTATTTGTTCTAGATATGTGAAATATGCTGTTGGTATTTTAATAGGGATTGCATTGATTCTGTAGATTGCCTTGGGTAGTATGGACATTTTAATGATGTTGATTCTACCAATCCATGAACACAGTATATTCTTCCACTTGTTTATATCTTCTTCTATCTCTTTTTCCAGCATCCTGTAGTTTTCAACATCTGAGAACACGTCTTTTGCCTCCTTGTTTAAGTTTATTTCTAAGTATCTTAATTTTTTTGTTACAATGATAAATGTGATTGTTTAATTTCTCTGCCTGAGAATTCATTATTGGTGTATTAAAAAAATCCATCAATTTGGAGGTGTTTCTTTTGTAACCTGCTACATTGTCAAATTCATTAATTAAATCTAGCAGTTTTTTGGTGGAGTCTTTAGGTTTTTTTATGTACAATATCATGTCATCTGTGAATAATGACAGTTTTACTTCCTCCTTTCCAATTTGGATGCCTTTTATTTCTTCTTGTCTGATCACTGTACCTATGTTGAATAAGAGTGTGAAAGCAGACATCCCTGTCTTATTCTTGTTCTTAGGGGAAATGGTTTTATTTTTTGTCCATTGAGTATGATGTTCCTTGTAGGTTTGTCATATGTCAAAGGCCATCCTTTATCATGTTGAAATATGCTCCCTCTATTCCCACTTTGCAGAGAGTTTTTTATAAAAAATGGGTGTTGTATTTTGTCAAATGTTTTTTCTGTGTCTACTGATATGATCATTGATGTGATCTTTGTATTTCACTTTGTTTATGTGATGTATCACGTTTATTGATTTGCGAATATTGTACCAGCCTTATATCTCTGGAATAAATCCCACTTGGTCATGGTGTATGATCTTTTTAATATATTGCTGGATGTGATTTGCTAATATTTTCTTGAGGATTTTAGCATCTATGTTCATCAGGAATAAGGGCCTGTAATTTTCTTTCTTTGTAGTGTCTTTATCTGGTGTTGGAATTAGGCTAATGCTGGCCTCATAAAAAGAGTTCAGAAGTGTTCCTTCCTCTTGGATTTTTTGGAATAGATTGAGGAGATATAGGTGTTAGTTCTTTTTTCAATGTTTAGTAAAACTCCCCTGTGAAGCCATCCGGACCTGGGAGTTTTGGGGGTTTTTTTGTTGAGAGTTTTTTGGTTACTGCTTCTATTTCATCAGTAGTTATTGGTCTATTTAGGTTTTCTGATTCTTCCTGATTCAGTTTTGGGAAATTGTATTTTTCTAGGAATTTTTCCATTTCATCCACATTGCCAGCTTGTTGGCATATAATTGTTCATAGTATTTTCTTTAATCTTTTGTATTTCTGTAGTGTCAGTGGTTACCTCTCCACTTTCATTTCTGATTTTATTTATTTGGGTCATCTTTCTTTGTATTTTGATGAATCTGGTTAACAGTTTATTAATGGCTAATGCTGGCCTCATAAAAAGAGTTCAGAAGTGTTCCTTCCTCTTGGATTTTTTGGAATAGATTGAGGAGATATAGGTGTTAGTTCTTTTTTCAATGTTTAGTAAAACTCCCCTGTGAAGCCATCCGGACCTGGGAGTTTTGGGGGTTTTTTTGTTGAGAGTTTTTTGGTTACTGCTTCTATTTCATCAGTAGTTATTGGTCTATTTAGGTTTTCTGATTCTTCCTGATTCAGTTTTGGGAAATTGTATTTTTCTAGGAATTTTTCCATTTCATCCACATTGCCAGCTTGTTGGCATATAATTGTTCATAGTATTTTCTTTAATCTTTTGTATTTCTGTAGTGTCAGTGGTTACCTCTCCACTTTCATTTCTGATTTTATTTATTTGGGTCATCTTTCTTTGTATTTTGATGAATCTGGTTAACAGTTTATTAATTTTGTTTATTCTTTCAAAGAACCAGCTCTTGGTTTGATTGATTTTTTTTTTTTTTTTTTTTTTTAGTTATGTTGTTTATTTCTGCTCTAATCTTATTTCCTTCCTTCTACTTACACTTGGCTTTTATTATTGTTCCCTTTCTAGTTCTTTAAGTTGTAGGGTTACATAGTTTATTGTTAATTTTTCTTGCTTTTTGAGGTATGCCTGTAGTACTATGAACTTTATTTTCAAGGACGGCTTTTGCTGTGTCCCAGAGATTTTGGGTTGTTGTGTGTTCATTTTCATTGGTTTCCAGGAAGTTTTTTTTATTTCTTTCTTGATCTCGTTGGTAACCCAGTCATTGTTTAATAACATGCTGTTTAGCCTCCATGTGTTTGAATACTTTTGGGTGTTTTTACTGTAGTTGATTTCTAATTTCATTCCATTGTGATCTGAGAAGATGCTTGAAATGATTTCAATCTTCTTGAACTTGTAGAGACTTGTTTTGTGTCCTAACATCTGATCTATCTTTGTGAGTGATCCAAGTGCACTTGAGAAGAATGTATATTCTGCTGCTTTTGGGTGAAATGTTTTATAAATGTCA